AACCCGGGTCAAGGGGGTTTTTTTTATAACTCCGGTTTTTACCCCCCCTCCCCTTTTTCCCCCCGGAAAGCCCCGGGAAAAAAAACCCGGGGGGCCGGGGGATGGGGGGGTCTTCCCCTTTCCAGGGGGCCGGGCCCCTTTCTTTTTTGGGGGGGGCCCCCGGGGGTTCTTCCCATTGTTTGGGTGGGGGGGGGGGGGGGGAGGGGACCCCTTTTTGGAGCCGGGGGCCCCCCCCCCCCCCCCCCCCCCCGCCCCCCGGGGGAGAAACAGGAGCGGTAGGATGCATGATGTAGTACAGGTGGAGTTCTATTTTGCGAAGCGTAGGAAAATCACGTTTTTCGCGCGATGCGGGTGGGCCTCTCTCCCGCTGTCAGTGGATGGTCCGGCAAACGGCGGTGCCTCTCGCGTGTTCGCCCTCTGATATCGTACGGTGGTGCAACACACAGTTGATGTCCAACTGCTGCCTCCTTGACCCTTCCTTGTTTATTATGGTTTTAAACGTTTTCCGAGGGCCACTTCGTTACTCCTTGCTGAGTCATACTGTCATACTGTACTGTCAAAAGACATTCCTCTCTGTCATCCTGCCCCTCTCATATGATTTACAGTATGAAAGAAGATACGCGACGCGGCACTGACTTTCTATGGTCATACGCACTTCAATCTCGTCTAATGTTGTTCCAGATCGATGGCCTTGGGTTCCGAGAGGTGGTGCACGACCTAGCCGTCGAGGCGGGCATCCCCCTCGGGTTCGAGAACGCGGCCGACGGCAGCGGCGGCGGTAAGTGGGACACCGCGGACGAGAAAGCCCGGCGGGAGGCCCGGGAGAGGCTCAGCCTCGTGCTGCAGATGGCGGCGCAGTTTTACACCCGGTGTCTCGTGGAGATGCCGGCGGCGGGTGGCGCTAGGTGAGAGGGAGTGCGAGAGCCGTCCCGCTCTCTCTCTCTTCAGAGGCCGATACGGCGGTGTTGTCTCGGGATTTCATCGATTGCCCCCCCTATGATCAAGAAAATGTGGCTTTTATCAGCAAGAAAAGTGTCGTGATTGCGGTCATCAGTCGGAAGCGCCGAAACCACGCACCTAATTTAATGCCGAATCCTGCCCGGAGGGGCGAGGAATCATCATCCCATCGTCTGTGCATGCTCTCAGCAAGTCTCAAACGCTAGGCATAAGCTAAGAGGGCCAGGGGGAACTACTGCTGTGACGGAAGTCGTTCGCTTGATGCCATGGTTGTTGACGCCTCCCTCTCTTGCTCTCCCTCGCGGTCTATTTCCTGGCTGACAGGGCGCACATAATAGAGCGGGGCATCTCCCCCATGACGGTGATGGACTTCCAGCTGGGGTACAGCCCCGCGGACCTGACGAGTCCGCTCATTGAGTACCTCGATCAGGTGCTTCTCGTGTGGGTCGTGGTTGCTGTTGCTGTTGACGTTGCCGCGTGGCCGTTGTTCTGCTATTGTTTGGTTCTCGGGTGGCACAGCAGCACTGCCGTAGTGTTGTTGTTGTTGTTGTTGACAGTGCCGCGTTGTCGTTGTTGTGGTCGATGATCCTGCTGTCGTCGTTCCTGTTGGTGGTTTGGGACTCGCGTGGTGCTGTCATAATGTTGTTATTGTTATTGTTGTTATTGTTGTTGTTATTGTTATTGTTATTGTTGTGGTGGTGGTGGTTGTTGTTGTTGTTGTCGCTGCTGCCCCTGCTCAACGCCGATCGCCTTCGTCCGTGCGGTTCCACAGGAGGGCTTCGAGATGGACACCCTCGTTGATGCCGGGCTTGTGCCGGATACGTCCAAGTGGAAATACCGCCCATCGCCGAACGTAAGCATGGCTTTTCCACGCCTCTGTGCCTGTGAAGTAATCTTCAAACGTGGCAAGGGGGGGGTGCGTACTCATGATTTGCATACCTTAGTTGTTAGACCATTGGCCGCACGTCGGGGGTTGGGGGGGGGGGATACCTTGTTGAGCAAGCCAGTCACGATTTCTACCACCAGCATCACCAGCAACACCACAAACGCGCACCAGTTCCCCCACTACATTCCCCTTGTCTCTCGGGTTTGATGACGCTCGTTCTCAACATCAGGACGCGCGGGGCCGAGTGGACCGCTTTCGGGGTCGACTAGTGGTGCCGATTCGAGATCACCGTGGGCTTGTGATTGGCTTTGGGGCGAGGGATCTTTCGGATTCTCAGGTAACGAGACGGCATGAACGGAAGGGCGGCGTGATGAGGGGGAGGGGTGGTCGCACGCGAGTGATTTGTGCTATTGTGTGCTCTTTGCCTTCGCGTTGGGGGGGGGGGGGGGTCGCACACGAGGGATGTGTGTTTTTTCTGCCGTTGCGTGCCAGCTAGTTTTTAGTGTCGGCTTGATGTGGTTGCTCTTCTCCTCCGCTTGCCCCCCCCCACCCCCCCCTGCGCGCTTATGGCGTTGCGCGCTTTCTCAGGCGCAGGGCAGCGTCGGCAGCGGCTTCGTGATCCCCGATGTTTCTAAGAAGGGAAAGGCCAAGAAAAAGGGAGAGCAGACCGAGGCGGCGGCGGCCGCCACGGGGGATTCCAGCAAAGCGGCGTTAGCGGCGGGGGGGAAGGGGGTTGGGGAGGGGGCGGATGCGGGGAAATGGGAGAAGAAAGCGAGGCCTCCGGCGAAGTATCTGAACTCGCCCGAGACCACTCTGTTCAAGAAGGGGAAGAACGTGTTTGGGCTAGATCTCGCCAAGGAGGTAAGAGTACCGTCCGTGTTCTTGTGGGTGTTTTGCTCGCATTGGTGGAGGAAGGCTTCTCCCCCGGTTGGGCTGACCAGGCTCTTGCGGTGGGAGCTCGTGCATCCTGAAAGGGGAGAAATGCGGAAGAATCTCTTTTCTTTCTTTATTTCTCTCTCTCCCCTGCCTCTCCCTCTCTCTCTCTCTCTCTCTCTCTCTCCCTGTGTGTGTTGATACTTCATTGAGTTGGCATCAGCCGCGTCAACCGGCTGACCAACGAAAATACCTCAGTCTCAGTGCGGCTATGTATTATCGGGAAACCACCGCTTGTAAATGCCACCTTTTGTGTGTATCCTTCCCTTGTCGACGACACTAATGATTTCTTCTTTTATCGAACAGGCGATGCGGTCGGAAGACACGGCATTCGTCGTGGAGGGATACTTCGACGTGATCAAGCTGCACGATGCCGGCATCCGGTGCGCGGTCGGGGTGCTGGGCACGGCCATCACCATCGACCAGCTCCAGCTCTGTGCGAGGTGCGGAGGGAGGCCGAGCGCAGCGTTAGGCGTGCATTGTATAGCTGCTCTACAACGCGACACCTTGACATATATGAGCCATGGTTCCCATGAAAAACTAGCATGCGGGTGGCTTTCTAGACAACCCGCTCGAGTTCGGTAAGAGTTGGAGTATATTGATCTAGATAGGCTCGTCCCTAATTATTTTTTCCAGCCGCAGGTTCGTCTACCCCGATCGAAGAACGCGGCGTTCTCGCGTGTTTTCCAGTCAAAACCAAAAACAGGTGTTCTCTTCCGCACAATGGTTGGACATGGCATTGTGTTCTGTTTGTTGTATTGTTTGAATATTTTTTGTTTTGGTTTTAGTTTTTGCGGAGATATATGTTGAAAGATGATACGTAAGGAAATCGTTTACCTCTCTCTTTGCTCTAGTGGCCCCATGGCTGCTTTTTGGATTTTGCCCTCATTTCTTGATCAACACGACAATGCCAACCGATATCCCCTGGTGTCCCTGCCAGTCACGCCTGCATAGCCTTGCGCCGCACGTATCTTCTGCTCACGTTGCTGCTTCTGCTGCTGCTGCTACTGCTGCGGTTGCTGCTTCTGCTGCTGCTTCTGCTGCTGCTTCTGCTGCTGTCGCTTCTCCTTCTTTTGCTGCTGCTGTTGCTGCTGCTGCTGCTGCTGCTGCTGCTGCTGCTTCTGCTTCTGCTGTGACCTTCCCCCCCAGGTACACCAAGAGCAAGCGAGTGATCCTGTGCATGGACGGCGACGCGGCGGGCAGGCGGGCGGTGGAGCGGCTGTGCGAGAGCCCGGCCTCGTCGGGGCTAGACTCCCTCTCCGAGGCGGGGGTGTCGGTTTCGGTGGCGACCATCCCGGAGGACCCTGGGTGCAAGGACCCCGCGGACTTCTTGCAGGTGCGGTGCTGAGAACCGATCCGAGGGACGCTCTCGTAGGTCGCAGAAGCTGACGAACACACGTGGACCGATTTTCGCTGACATAACTGTGATGTAAACACAGCAAAGAAAGACTAGCCGTTGGAGGTGGAACCACAAGCCAGTCGCAGGGGATGTGTTGAAGTCTTTATTTTTATTTTTCGAGTGAGTCGAAGAACGACCGACTTGTAACTTGGGATTTTTCTAGGCATGTTGATTGCTCTGCCGAAATAACGGTGCCGAGTACTTGTATGGCGTCGTTGTTGGAACCGTCTGTCTCGAAGAGAGCTGTCCGAGTAATTTTGATTTTTGGCGTCCTCTTCGTGGACTATTTAGTCGAGGCTCGAAATTCGGCTCAGGGGGTGTCATGTCTTAGAACGACCAATGGTACCGATGTTACGACTTGCGGCGCCAGAGCAGACTCGTTGCCGTGTGCATGTATCGGTTCAGAGTTGCACGCCTAATGTTACGCTCCTCTCAGGTGTCTCTCTTGTTGTTCCAACATTCCGAACCCCAACATGTCAGTGAGCGTACCCTCCTTTTCCCCGCCAAGCAGTCGCTGCTGCGGTTTTGCTTTCATTTAATTACTTTATTGGGAGACGGAAAGAGAAGATAGGCCATTCTCGGCCAGACGGGCGCAACTTGCAGCGCGTGCTTGTCACTGGTCTCTCTCGCGCGCGAGGAAGCGGGAACACGGCATCATTCCACGATGTGGCTTAAGCATGCATTTTATTTTTTCCCTTGCGCAATCCCGCCGTTCTCACAATTGTCTCCAACCCTCAACCCACCCCCCCACCGTACCAGGCGCATGGTGCAGAAGAATTCCGAGCCAAGGTAATGGGCAAGGCGGTCCCCTGGAGCGACTGGTACGGGGACAGCATCCTGGCCGACCACGACTTCGCGGGTGACGCAAACGCCTTCCGGAGGTGTACGGACCGCCTGACGGGCTTCATGAGCGACCTCAGCATCCCCACCGATCAGACGTTCCACGTCCATCGCTTCGCCAAGGCTCTAGCGGGCGGTGAGACGTTTCATTTGGTGTCGTTGCCCTCGCTCTCCTTTGTGTTTTTTTTTGCTCTTGTAGTAGAGTGTAGCCCCACGGACTCACCCGAGTTTGTTGACTGCGGCGTGCTGTCGGTCGTGCCGCAGCGAACAAGTATTTTCCCACTCGTATCGAGTTTTTGCAACAACCAACCGCTTGCCAAAATAATATTGTTTCGCCTGAATAGCGCGCAAGAAAGCTGCTTTCTGGCCCAAGGACTTTAAGACGTCGCATGTATGATGTCAGTATACCTCTCCGTCATGACTTTCTCGCGTGTTTCGTGTAAATGGTCACCGTGTTCCATGCCGGTGCTCTCAATAACAAGTCCCCGTTTTCTTTCTGCCCTCGCTGCCGTGTCGAAAAGGCAACGAGGCGATGCGGCACCAGCTAGAGTTCGACCTGATGAACATGTCCAACGAGAAACGTGCCCGCAAGAACGCTCTCCGGAGACGCTCCGGCCACTACACCGGCAGCTGGAACGCCGGCGTGAACGCCGGCTCCGCCCCGCCGGCTCAAGGGCAACAACAGAGCCAACAGCAGAAGCAGCAGCAGCAGCAGCAGCAGGAGGAGCTGAGGTCTGCCGCCGTCGATGGTGCAGGAGGGGGCGGGTACTTGACGGGCACGGAGGGCATGGAGGGCGTGGAGGTGGTGAGGGACCACTCGTGGGTGATGGAGCGCGTGAGGATGAAGAAGAGGGAGGAGTCGAGGCTCAAGAGGGAGAAGTACGGGAGCAAGAGGATGACGATCTGGTCGCCGTCGATGGAGCAGGTGCGGTGTGGGGTGGGGTCGCTCGCGCTGCAGCGAGGGAGGCGCTGTTCGCCGCTTGGTATTGGGATGTGCGGGGTGCACCGCGCGGAAGCAGGACTCCGATTGGTTGTTTGTCTTCTTGGCGTTTGTGTTTGTGTGTGGTGGTGTTGTGTTGAGATGATGCCCATGTGTCTGTTTGTTAAGAGAGATCTTGCTGGTTGTCGCTCCTTGCGAATGTGTCGACCTATTTATTGATGTCGAGACGCACATGTGTTTACATATAAAGTATTCTTCGCCGGTGCTCTAACGTGTACTACTTGTACTGCTGTTGTGTATGCGTGGCGATTCCTCTTTGCTTTTCCTGAACGCCCTGTTGTCCACCGGTGCTCACATTTGCTGCTGCTGCTGCGTCGATTCCTCTTTTTTCGGTCCCGGCAGGAGTACGGCGGCGGCAGCGAGGAGAGCAAGGCCACGGAGCTCGCCCTCCGCGGCCGAATCCTTGACCAGGCGCAGCGCTTCCTGCTGGCCCTGGTGGTACACGACCCCTCTCGCCGCGCCAAGTGCTTGGAGGAGGTGTCGCGGCACGGGCTCTACCTCGGCGGAGAGCGGCGGCAGTGGCTGTTCAACGCCCTGACCGCGTCGGTGTCACCAGACCCTGCCTTACCGTCAGCAGCAGGAGCAGGGGGGGGTGGGGGAGATGGACAAGACGGGGCTGGGCGCGACTCTCCCCCGGCCTGGGGAGGTCCCACGCCGGAGGCGTTGGAGGCGGGCGGGGACGTGCTATTCGCGGAGGTCAGGGCGGCGGCCCCCGGCGGGTACTTCGCGCTCCGAGGAAAGGCGGCGGGAAAAGGCGGGGGGGGGGTCGGGGCCGACGACGAGGGGGAGAAGGAGGACACGCTGGATTGGGTGTTCGAGAGGGCGGAGGCGGAGCGAGTGGCCAAGGGGGCCAACACCGACCTCGTGCTGCTGGAGGTGGTGATGGTCATGCTCAAGGAGCAGGTGAGTGGGGCCCGGCGAAGACGGTCTGTACGTGTTGCGCCTGGCTAGGTTTTTAGCGGGGGAGATGCCTGCGTGTTTTTCCTCGAGAGCTCCTCGCGCAAGGGGCCGGGGGGCAGAATGTGCTGGCGTTTGATTTTGGTGGAGATAGCGGCGTCGTGAGCTGGGGCTGGCTCAAGAGGCGGAAACGTACGCTTCCGTTAAGGCGTTGCAGGTGTCATCATTATTGTGTCAAGTTTGTTGCCCATGGCAGGAGCATGGTTCTACACATGCAGCGCACATGGTCTTTTCCTGGGGTCTAGCGATCCATGTCTTCATAGATGTTTGTCTAAGGCGTGCACCCACCAGGTACGAGGTATTGGAAGTATTGTTTGTTCCTCTTGTCGGATGTACAGGTACAGTACCCTTACACCCCCCCCGGCCCCCACGCTGCCTCTTTTTCTTGCCCCCGGCAACATCCTGTACCCCCTTCCCCCCCCCCCACCCCCCATGTGAAAGGCCGCGGCGAAGATGCACTCCCTGAGCCTGGAATTAGCCGACACGAGCAACGCTATAGCCCGCACGATGGCCGAGGCAGCCACCGCCGACTTTCTCGCGCTGGACCCCCCTCAAGCCTCTGGGGAGCCCCCAGAGACCGCTACCGCCCCTGAATCACCAGGCGTTGCCGCGGGGAAGGGTCAGGGGGTGGGGAGGAGCAGGGCGGAGGCCCAAGCGGAGGTAGAGAGGCTCAAAGTTCGGCAGTCGGAACTGTTCGAGATGATTCAGGAGCAGAGGGAGGTGAGAAGAAGAAGCACAGATGTTTCGGGTGCTGATGCGGGGACTGGTGGTGTGCGTGGTGGTTGGTTTGTGCGGTCCGGTGTGTGCGTGTGTTTGTGAGTGTATTTCGTTCCCCATCTGTGCTGTAGCCAGTTTTCACACCGTTCGGTGTATACCTGTGTGTTTGACGTTGTAGCAGCCTGGGAGTCATACAGGAGCGTGCGTTCTTTTTCTAGAAGGTCAGACTGCGCAGGTGTGCGCTTCCTTCTTCATGGCGCCATCGGTTTTATCGCGGTCGATGCTACTCGATAGCGGTACACCTCGGAGAGACCTAACACACACCCACACACACACACACACACACACGTGAATCGCCCGCTTGTACCGCCGCCTTCTTTTTTTTTGTTCCGCCGAGAGCAGGAGGTGACCGAGTTCGAGGCACGAAGAAAGGCGTTCACGAACCGCCTGCCGAAGGTCAGGGCGGAGACAGAGGCTATCCGAAAGCAGGAAGCGCGGGCGAAGAGGCAGAGCATGGCGGCGGCGGCACCGGCGGCGCGATCGGCGGCTCCCTCGCCCCGACCACCACCACCAACATCGCCGCCGCCGCCGCCGCCGCCGCAGGAACGATCGCAGTCGCCCGCCGACACGCGGTACGACGAGCGGCGGCAGCAGCAGCTGCAGCAGCTCAGGCGCGAAGCGGGGGGGGAGGATGAGGGAGAGCTGTCGGTGGAAGACCTACCGTACCGGTTCTTGGACGAAGACAAGGAACCGGAGGAAGGGATCAACATCTACGACGTGGACGGGAACATCGCGGCGGCGATGGCGGCGATGGAAGCTGCTGAGGCCGGGGATGCCGCGCTGCCTCCGCCGCTGTCACCAACGCCGCCGCCGCCGCAGCAGCAACAGCAACTGCACCGGCCGCGGCAGCACCAGCCGCAGCAGCAGGGGCAGCACCAGCCGCAGTACAGCAGTGACGCAACGCACGGGCAAGCAGTTGCAAGGGAAGCTCGGCGGCGACATGCGGCAGAGGGAGTCGTAGCAGCAGCGGCATCGGCGGCATCGGCGCTGGGGGGGGCAGCAGCAGCAGCAGGGGAATCATCGCCAGCGCCGGTGGCAGCACGCCTTGGCGACAACCGTGACAATGACCAGCGGCCCGGGGTCGAGGTGGGGGCAAGCGGGACGGTCCGAGACACGGCAACCACAACGTCGCCGCCGTTACCGCGGCGTCATCCCGCTGCCGGCGGCAATCACGCCGGGGAGGCGAGCAAAGGTGCTCGGAGCGAGCGGAACGCGCGGCGCGGTGCGGGGACACCGCAGGCCGTAACGGTGATGGGAGGAGGGGGGGGCGACGGGGGTCTTGACGATGCCGTTGTGGAAAGGATGGCGAGGGAGGCCGAGGAGCAGATGGAACAGATGAATGAAGATGACGGTGTCTTCGACGGCAGCGAGACGGGTTGGTGATTTTTTTATTTTTTTAGTCAAAGGCTGTTCGTGTTGCCGTGTGCTAATTTGGGGTGTGAGTGATGGTCCCTCCGCCTTGTCGCCGCTCTCTCGGTGTGATATGGCGGGTGTTGGGTGTGGCGGGAGACTGCCATCCGTCTGTGGGTGAGGGGTGCAATGTGCACCGAGTGTTTTTTCGGCTCCTTTCACGAAGTGGGGCGCGTAGCGTTGTGCTGGGTACGTATGTGCTACATGGCTCCCCGTTGGTCTGCGGATTGAAAATTTCTACTGTGGTTTCAACTCCTCGGAGCGCGCGGGCCATGTCGTCGGTGGTCTGCGCTTAAGAGCAGTAGTGTGGTGCACGGCTTTGCCAAATTGATTTTTTGCCCACTTAGCCGTCAGGAGACGCTTGCGTTGAAGGTCGTGTTTCGTTGTAGTAAGTTGACGGCACCCAATAATCCTGGACTGTTGCCAGTTGTAGACAGAGAGACAAGACGAGCGGATGGCGACGTGAGGCCCCCCCCCCCCAGCAACAAAAAAGTAGCTGGGGAAATATTTCCTGCTGTAGTGTGTGTGTATCGCGTGGTGGACTGTGTGTCGTGTTGTCGCCTTTTGTTGCTTCCGGATAGTCTGCGCATGCTCGTTTTTCGGTGGTGTGTGCGATAGTGTTGTGCCCTCCCCCCCCCCCCCCCACCACCACCTCGTGCCCTCTACTGGAACCTTGTATCATGAGTTGTATTGTCGGAGGAGGCTGTAGTAGATGGAGGGTAGGAGATGATGATCAGTGGGTCTATGCTCGCGTATTGGCATGGTGGTAGTTTTCATCGTGTTAAACCGGGGGATTTCTTCCCCGCCTCCCACACAGTATCCGTGGCTTGAGTGACTAAATACCGTATGGCCGTCCGTGCCTCGTCTGTTAATTTTTGGACGAAATAAGTGTTTGTGTCTGATGCAAACATGCCGGACGTGAGCGTTAGGTTGTTCCAGGGTCGGTCGTGAGTTCAAGAAAGTCGATGGCCGTGCGCTAAAACTAAGAAACCATGCACATACCATCGAGCTCGTTTTTTTTGTTGTGGCCCCGCTTCCATCATTCAACGGATTGTTTGCAAACAAAAATATCTGTGGAAAAGATGAACTTTGGTGCGTGTCTCTGTGAACGGAAAAAAAAAAAAAAACTTGGCATTTTGGATCACCTTAAGTGTTGGGCGTCATCACCGGTTACACAACAAAATCACGATGGGGGAAAGCAGTTCGTGATCGATTGGATACGTCACATTCAGTCTTCTACCGCTTCCGCCTGGTCGGGATAAACCAAGGAGGCACGCGGAGACGCTGGCGAAAAAAGTGCACATATAGAAATAGAGGGAGGGATTCATGGTGTGACTGAAGATCCAGTTCTATTTGCCTTCAGTCGACCGAATGAAGGTATCCCGTGCATTGTAGAGGCACAAGCGTCATGTTTTTGCCCCGAGGCTCGGTTCACTGTTGCTCTGCGGGTTGCATAACGTCACCACAGGGTAGCAGCCACTATTTAGTTTTGGGCTCAACAGCGGGGTGGGATTAACGTTTTCCACCGATCGATCCAGAAATAAAAGGAGCCTAAAAAAAAAAGTCCCAACTTTTCCAACAAGCGCTGGCGCGCACGTGCGCGTGCTGCAAGTCGCATGATTGTGGGACGGGCGATCTGGCCCCGGCCTACGCACAGCAGCGGTAGAGGGAGAGCGATCGAATGATGAAATTAAAATGCGTAACACCAAGTGTCTAACAGCAGTCGGTCCCCGCTTCGATCGAGAGGGTCACATGGAAAATGAAGCATCCAAAAGTGAACAATAATAAAAAAAAACAAGCAAGGACGTACGTGATGGGTGAGTCAGTCACCGTCACAACGAAGTAAGCTCGTTTGCAGCCGTTCTCACGATGCGCGGCCAGCTAAATAGACGACGACGACGATCAAAACAAACCGTCCGAAATAGCGAGACACGGCAGTCGCACATGTACACCCGCCGATCGGTGGCTGTGTCATAGTTTTTGTGCATCAAAAAGAGGGTTGTCCGGTGCGATGTGTTTTCATTGTCAGTCTTCCTCCATCTCTCCACCTCCGTCTGCCCTCTGCTCCGACCTAGGCTATCGCTGATGTCGCCAACAAAGCGACAAACAACGCGCGCGGCCATGCCTGTTTCTCTCTATGTACACACCCAAACCACGACAACTTAAAGACACGGCAGACATGAACCAAGCATTTAGCCCGCCAAATCAAATCACCAACATTCTCAAACAACGATTTTGACTCCCTCCCTCCCCCCCCCCCACACCCTCAGCCGGCCTATGGCAGATAATAATAAAAACAGCGTCCACAGAAAAAAACATGAAATAGCTTTACAGCAACTTTTCTTTTATGTTTGTGCCTCTTCCATCACCCCCTGCCCCCCCCGTATCCCTTCCCCACCTATTTTCATTCTCCTCCGCTCATCCACCCGTTGCGCAAACTCCAAACATAATAAGCACATCATGTCTCCCGTTTGTACGCAAGTTTCCCTGAATCCCCTCCCGGGGACTTTCTTACAGAATCAGCGAACGACTCCCACCAAGCTTCTGGAGAAGCGGTCCCCGACAGGGACAAGAGAGGGTTGCCAATGGTCAGCCACCACCTCCCCCGCCCGAAACATCAACGCATTTTCTAACGAAACGCGTTCGCCCGGTTCCCCCCCCCCTCGCCGAATGGTATCTGATTCGAGACGGAAAATCACGGAGCCCCCAACAAAAATTACGAAGGGGGAAGATCGAACCCTCTCTTTTACTCATTCTAGTCACGACGCTCCCCCAGAGAGCGATCTTGAGCACTCGGCTTTTCACACTCTAAAAATCCGGTCACCTCCCTCTCTAAGACCAAAACATTAGGAAAGACCCCCAAAACGCATGGAAACGCGAGAGTCGAGTAAGTCAAGAGAGACAAAAAAAAATGGAAATGTGCGCAAACGAACAGGGCTCGCGCCGAATATCTCCCGAGATCCACAGAATGGGGGGGGGGGGGGGGGCCCCCAGGGCAACAAAAAAAAAAACAAAAAAAAAAAAAACCCCCCCGGGCGGGGGCCCCCCCCCCTTTTTTCCCAAATTTTCAATTTTTTGTCGGGACCCAAGGAAACAAAATTCCCGTTCCCCCCAAAAACAAAGGGTTTTACCAAAAAAATGAGGGGGGAAGGTTTCAGGGGGGGGGGGAAAAAAACCCCCCCCAAAAAAAAGAAATTCAAAAAGCCCAAAGAAACAAACCCCCCCAAAAACAACCCACGGGGAAAAAAAAAAAAAAAAAAAAAACTAAAAACCCCCCGGCCAAAAAACCAATTTACAAAATTCTTTCGTTCGTTTTTTCCCCGGGGGGAAAAGGCCATGCGAAAAGGGACGGGGGGGCGGGGAAAAGCGGCAATCTTTCCCAAACCCCCCCCCCCCCTTTTTTAAAATTCAGAAAATTCTGGAATCAAAAAAAAACAACGGCCCCCCCCCAATTTCAAAAGTCCCCCCCCC